GTGAGATCATCTCTACAGCAGATTAAAGGAGGAAACCCACATAATCATAGCAATACATGTTCCAGTAGCCATCAATAAATATACAGAGGGACTTTTCTTAACATGGCCAAGATAGATTCTACTCAATAGTGAAATGCTGGAAGCATTTACATTAAAGTCAGAAATGGGAGAAGGGTGTGGTTAATCCTCCACTACTATGAGCATTCTACTGAAGGCCCCCAGTAATGCAGTAAGACAAAAGGGCAACCCAGTGTTCTGTACATGAACTGATAAATGAACATATCTCAATTATGAAAGACACTGTTGTTAGGTGCTATTGAGTTGGTACCGACCCATAGTGACTCTATGCACAGCAGAACGAAACACTGCCCAATCCTGGACCAACCTTGCTACTGTTCCCACGCTTGAGTCCATCTCGTTGGGGGTCTCCCTCTTTTTCTCTGACGCTCCACCATACCAAACATGATATCCTTCTCCAGCAACTGGTCCCTCCTGACAATATGTCCAAAGTATGAGAGACGAAGTTTGGCCATCCTGGCCTCCAAGGAGCACTCTGGCTGCACTTCTTCCAAAACAGATCTATTGGTTCTTTTGGCAGCCCATGGCACTTTCAGTATCCTCCTCCAACACCATAACTCAAAGGCATCAATTCTTCTACGGTCTTCCTTATTCACTGTCCAACTTTCGTATGCATATGAGGTTATTGAAAATACCATGGCTTGGGTCAGGCGCACCTTAGTCCTCAACCTGACATCTTTGCTCTTCAACACTTCAAAAAGGTCTTGTGCAGCAGATTTGCCTAACGCAATACGTTGTTTGATCTTTTGACTGCTATTTCAGTGAATGTTGATAGTTGATCCAAGAAGAATGAATTCCTTGACAGCTTCAATCTTTTCTTCACTGATATGTTTATTGGTCCCGTGGTGAGGACTTTTGTTTTCTTTATACTGAGATGCAGTACATACTGAAGGCTGTGCTTTGATCTTCATCAGTAAATGTTTTACGTCCTCTTCACTTTCAGCAAGCAAGGTTGTATCCTCTGCATATCGCAGGTTGTCAATGAGTCTTCCTCCAATCCTGATGCCACATTTTTCTTTTTTTCTTCATAGAAACCAATTTCTCGTGTTATTTGCTCAGCATACAGGTTGAATAAGTATGGTGAAAGAATACAACTGTGTCGCACACCTTTCTTAATTTTAAAACATTCATTGTTCCCATGTTCTGTTCAAATAACTGCCTCTTGGTCCAGGAACAGATTCCTCATGAGCACAATTAAGTGTTCGGAATACTCATACTTTGTGATGTTAGCCATAGCTTGTTATGATCCACACAATCGAAAGCCTTTGCGTAGTCAATAAAGCACAGATAAACATCTTCCTGATATTCTCTGCTTTCACCCAAGATCCAGCAGACATCAGCAATGATATCCCTTGTTCCACAGCCTCTTCTGAATCTGGCTTGAACCTCTGGAAGTTCTCTGTCAATGTATGATCGTAGCCGTTTCTGTATCACCTTTAGTAAAACTTTACTCGCATGGGATATCAAAGAGATTGTACGATAATTTCCACGTTCTGTTGGGTCACCTCTCTTTGGAATGGGCACAAATATGGATCTCTTCCCATCAGTCAGCCAGATAGTTAGTTGTCTTCCAAATTTCTTGGCATAGATGAGTGTGTGCCTCCTGTGCCACCTCACTTTCTTGAAAGATTTCAATTTTTATTCCATCATTTCCTAGGGCCTTGTTCTTTGCCAATTCCTTCAGTGCACCTTGGACTTCCTCCTTCAGTATCATTGGCTCTTGATCGTATTGCTACCTCTTGAAACGGTTGAATATTAACCATTTCCTTTGGTACAGTGACTCCGTTTTCCTTCCATCTTCTCTTGATGCTTTCTGCATCATTCAATAATTTGAACAGAGAATCTTCCAATAACGAAAGTCGAGGCTTGAAGTTTTTTCTTCAGTTCCCCCAGCTTGAGAAATGCTTAGCGTTTTTTTCCTTTTTGGTTTTTTGATTCCAGATCTTTGCACATTATGTTGTAATATTTGGCTTTATCTTCTCAAGGTGATCTTTGAAATTTTTTGTTCAGCTCTTGGACCTCCTCATTTCTTCCATTTGCTTTAGCATCTCTACGCTGGAGAGCAAGTTTCAATGTCTCGTCTGGCATCCATTTTGACTTTTTCCTTCTTTCTTGTCTTCTAAATGACTTTTTGCTTTCTTCATGTATGATGTTCTTGATGTCATCCCATAACTCTTCTGGTCTTTGGTCTTTAGTGTTTAATGTATCAAATCTGTTTGTCAGATGATCTCCAAATTCAGATGGGATATATTCAAGATCACATTTTGGCTCTCGTGGACTTGTTTTCATTTTCTTCAGCTTCACTTTGAATTTGCATATGAGCAATTGATGGGTCTGTTCCACAGTCTGGCCCTAGCCTTGTTTTGACTGATGATATGGATCTTTTCCATCGTCTCTTTCCACAGATGTAGTCAATTTGATTTTCTGTGTATTCCATCTGGTGAGGTCCATGTGTATAGTCATCTTTCATACTGTTTAAAGAAGGTATTTGAAATGAACAAATCATTGGTTTTGCAGAATTCTATCATGCGTTCTCCAGCATCATTTTTATCACCAAGACCATATTTTCCAACTTCTGATCCTTCCTCTTTGCTCCCAACCTTTGTATTCCAATCACCAGTAATGACCAATACATCTGGATTTCATGTTTGATCAATTTCAGATTGAAGAAGGTGGTAGAATTCTTCTATTTCATCCTCACTGGCTTTAGTGGTTGATGCGTAAATTTTAAAATAATAGTGGTATTAACTGGGCTTTCCTGTAGGCGTATGGGTATTGTCCTATCACAGACAACGTTGTACCTCATGACTGATCTGGATATGTTCTTTTTGACAATGAATGCAACACCATTCCTCTTCAATTTGTCATTCCCGGCATAGTAAACCATATGGTTGTCAGATTCAAAATGGCCAATACCAGTCCATTTCAGCTCACTAATGCCTAAGACATCGATGTTTATGCATTCAATTTCATTTTTGACAACTTCCAATTTTCCCAGATTCATACTGTACATTCCATGTTCCAACTTTCAATGGATGTTTACAGCTGTTTCTCTTCATTTTGAGTTGTGCCCCATCAGCAAATGAAGGTCCTGCAGGCTTTTCTCCCATGAGCTTTTCTTCATTCGCGTCATCATGGTCAACTCTACTTTGAGGAGGCAGCTCTTCCCCAGTTGCCTTTTGAGTGCCTTCCAAGTTGACTGGCTCATTTGCCAGCACTATATCTGACAGTGTATATAGAGCTTTAAAAAATATCTGTAAATCCCAGTAGGACAAACCCCCTCCAAGACAAACTCAAAGGGAACACATGAGCAGGCATGTAAGCATGTTGGCAACCATATTGGTCTACTGGTGAGTGGAAGAAGGAGAAAGGCCACAATGAAGTAATGGGCTGAGTCAACCATGTTCCACAGACTCCCATTGACCTGGAGATGAGAGAGAGAAGAGGAAGGGTTGGTTGATCCAAAGTGTGGTGAGACCTGGGGACTCCTGAGCCCATGGACAAGGACATAGCCATGGAGGGCTAGAGCTGAGAGTGAAACGTCCAGTTGATAGGAAATGATGGGAAATGTACAAAAAAGCCCAAACTTGCAGACAGTACCCACCTGACCTAGCCTCCATGGCTTGAAAACCAGAATTCAACTAGCGGAAGATTTTAACAAAATTTTTAGATAAAGGAAATGACAGTAAATTGCTACAATCTGATGAACTGGACCTATACTTATGGATGTAGTAGCTCAAAATACCAACTGAGAGCAGGAGTACTTCACATCAAGATCAATTCTATCCCATCTGTATACAGGGTAGATAGGGACGGGCAACGTAGACATTGGCTACCTAAAATGAGAGAGCGATAAAGGCACGAAGTGACTGGCTTACAAGTTTTCAAGGAGTTTAGTTTGAGTGTGGGGGAAGGAAGCGTCTCCACTGAATAGTTTTCATCTTGGCTAGATAGATCTGGTGAAAAGATATGGGGATAAGATTTTTAGGATTCAATAGTGAAAAACTGTTAGACTGTCAAAACTGTAAAAGAGACGTTTTGTAACAAAAACAGGGGTGTAGTTAATCTTACAGTCCAGAAACAGAGGACCCTAGGAGCATCAAGAGAGGAAGAGCACAGAGTGTGGGATACTACCCAGAGAAGGAGCGACACCAGAGATGGAGGCAGAGACGAGGCCATGGAGAGAGGGAGCAGCTGAGGACTCTGGATTCATGGAAAGAGAGGGATTGGGTGCTGGCGGCCAAGAGGCAGGCTTTCAGAATGTGCCCTTTGGTTGTTTAAATTATTATCTATTCTTGAGTGTATCAGTGTACACCTCCCTCCCACTCCCTCAAAGAAAAAAAAGCAAATACTGTTGAATGATGCTGCTCGGAGGCAATTGTAATCACTGCAATGAAACGACAGTGTAAAGCCAGTGTTTTCCCATGTAAACCACTCTGTTCACAACAAAAATTTGATACATTAGCTGTAAGTGAAAAAAATAAAGTATACTGTATATAATAAACTTCTATGCTAAAATTTGTAACAAGATTTTCTCTAAATTCCACATGGAAATCTTTTTAAAGGGAAAATACCCTTGAAATTCCCAACAGGTGATCTCTGAAGATTTCGTAGGACAATCAGAAGAGCTGTGATAACTAGTGATCTTTTAATTTTCCAAAAGGAATGTACAGCTTGAATTAATGACAGGTCTATACTGTGCTGTGTTGCTATAATATTAGTGTGGGAATTGCATTCAACAACGCTAACTATAGTAGCTGCTAAGGATAAAACAAATACTGGGGGTTTGAATGATGGGTGTGACTGCTAGGCTGAGTGGAGGATGTTGGGGCTTCTCTGCTCTGCAGGGGAGGGGCTCCTGAGGGGCTCAGCCAGGCCTCGTTTACTGCCTGCTCCGATGACCTGCCTCCCCCTTTTGACAGGAGCAGACCAGGCCTCAATCACAGCCCGAAACCACATCCAGCTGGTGAAGTCGCAGGTGCTGGAGGTGCGCCAACTCTCCCTGAAGGCAGAGACCAAGCTGGCGGAGGCGCAGACTGAGGAACTGCGGCAGAAAACCCAGGAGGAAGCCGGAGAGAGGGCGGAGGCAGAGCCTGAGGCCTACCTGCGTGAGGACTGAGACCCCACTGCCACATCTACTCTGGAATGAGAACTGGGTGCTACTGCTTTCCCTGCAGATATGAGGCGGCAGGCTAGGCCCATCCGACCAGAGGCCTCCCAGTTGAGTGCTGGCCCTCCCCCTGGGGTCTGTGGCCTCCTCCCCTGGGGTCTCTTGTCTGTGCTAGCCCTGCTTATTGACCTTCTGACCCTGTACCCTAGTTCACATTTCACCCCCAAAAGCATCTAACCAGTTCGGCCCAGAGGGAGCAGACCTTTCTGTCATGCCCATAAATAAGTTCAGTAACTGTTGAACCTCACTTTTTGTTCTTACGTTTTCAATGTCATTTAGTAACTGCTCCCTCCAAAAGGAGGCTGCCCTATGACTAAACTGACAGGAAGCATTTCTGAGGCCTTCTCTGTTGGGGCCCCACAGTCCGCAAGGACAACTGCCAGAGCGTGACAATTGTGTCCTGGAAGGGTGAGTTATGACCCAGTGCTCCCATTGAACCTGTTCCACTTTAGAGTTTGTTGTATCTATCCATGGGAGAAGAAATTTTTTTTTTTTTTTGCATTTAAAAATGTGTTTGTGTTTTGTCTCAACTTCCCACCGCCTGTAATGACAGCTCCAGGGACACCCCCCCCCCCCAAAAAAAAAAGGTTCCTGGCGGTGCTCCCATTCAACACAGACAGGTAGGAAGCAGTCAGGTTCCCGTGATTTTAATGCAGGGTTTACAGAAAAGCCATCTTGGCTTATAGACCGTTTCCCAGGTACTCAATTTCCCATCATGATAGAAAAACTACAATCTGCTAGGGCGGCTGCTCAACCCGCCACTCGCGGCTGGGGTTGCGGGGCGGCGGCACATCGGAGCTCCTCCTCGGTCACCAGCACTCACATGGTCCACATCTCCAGGGGCATGAGCTCGCTGTACAGGCAGGGATCAAGGGGGTTCAGGGGTCGCTGGATCCCGAACGTCTTAAAGCCGGAGTGGTGCGTGGGGCTCACGCCCAGCTTCCTCAGGCACATCCCCACAAAGACATCATTGATGAGGAGGAGCTCGGCTTCCTCCGCGGCCCTCCGCAGGCACTGCACCCCGCATAGGATGGGCCCTATATATACGCGGGGGGGGGGGGTGTGGGAGATGAAGTATTTGACCTTGGTGTTCCTGTTGTGCAGGGCCTGGCAGATGACATTTCCCACTAGGAGGTCCTGGGCTGGGTCCCAACCGTTCGGAAACTCCAGTATGTTGGGGACATGAACGAAGACATTCACCGTCCCCCTTAAGCAAGAAGGGGACCTGGGGGCAGGCGCAACTCCTTGAGCGGCAGGTGGAAGAAGTTCTCAGAGAAATCCCACTGCAGAATGTCGTCAAATTCGCGACTTTCGTACATTAGCAACTGGGCGGGGGGCGCGGGTCCTGCCACCCCCAGAAGAAACACCAGCTTCAGGCGCTGCCCGCGCGCCCGGCCCCACATGCCGCGGATGGCCGCCCACCGCTCCACGTGGCCTGGCTGGGACTTGATGGCAGCAGCAGGGCGGTGTCGGCGGCGCAC